GCATAATTGCTACGATAAATTACTTCCGAGATATTTAAGAACAAACAAAAACTTCCAGGTGCTGAGTGCTCGTCGGGGAAAACTTTCAAGGCAATTAAGAACCTTAACCCTTAATATTTTCATTTGGTTATCTTTTATTTGAATCTACCACTACAGCATTTTATATGGGAAAAGAAATTGCCGATAGTCAAATCTTCATATTGCAATGTTTTCAAGATGCTCTCAGTTGGATAACTAATTTGGTATCGTAGCCACAACAAAAAAGGTCAAGATATTATGATCTTTCTACAATCTTTCTCCCTTGTGCCTTCTCTGCAAATTTTCTTTCTCTTATTTGTTTATGTGATATGAGTGGGTTACAAATTGGCTAGGAACAACTATAAGAATTAGAATTAAGACCCCCAAAAAACTTGCCGCTTGTAACTCTAAACATAAGAAATTGAAAAAATGATCAAAATAGGAACTTGAAAAAACCAGTCTTTTATAATCCTCGCTATGAAAACTTCCTTAATATTATGAAAGTATTCTCACGAGAATACGATATGCGTGCAATGCTTTTAGCAAAGAAATAAAATTATCATATTATTAATATTCAAATCTACTCTTGAGTAGAGTACACACTGAAATATTTATAAGCTTGGACTTTTTAAAACCTTAATTGATAACATAAGCCTTAAAGCTCATTATAAACTATCAGAGCCTATAATACTAACTAAATAAAGTACATAAAAAATAAATGAGAAAATGTATTAAAAATAGAAAAAATTAAAGGATTTTCTAGCATACTCTAACTTGCTAGTTAATATAAAATAATCTAAATCACACACTATTTAAGAGGATCTCATCATTAATGAGAAAGGTCATAGGATCATACCATTAACGAAAAGATCTTTATTTGACTCTGTTAATTCATATAATACAAAATATGTAAGTCTTTGTCTTTAAGAAAGCAATTGATATAAAATAGGAAATTAATTAAAAAAATAGAATTCTAATTAATGCTGTATAAAACCATTTTTGTTGTTTCTTGAATGTTATTCGACTTTTTAAATAAATCTTCATACATACTATTCATGTTCATAAGCATATATGGACTAAATGGACCTTTTAGATATCCCTTTAGATTTGAATATGATTGAATGACCTTTTGAAACTCCCATAGCCTATCTCATAATGCATTCGGGTCCTAATTTAATAGGTTGAACCTCCATTGGACTCCTCCATAGTATATTGTTGAATTGAGCATTTAATAATGTGAAAATTAGGTTTAAAAGTTCCTTTTAGATTCTTAGAACTAGAGCTGGTAATACGGGCCCAGCCCACCAGCACGTCAAAAATGGCGGGTTCGGGTTGGCATTTTGCCAACCCGCCAAGGTGCGGGCTAATCCAGCCCACACCGTTTTCAACCCGTTCCGTTGCGGGCCAGCCTGCCGGTTGGTGGGCTAGCCCGCTTTTTTTTTAAATTTTTTTTATATAATTTCTAATATATTATACAACATAATTAGAGGATTTTAACCCTCAAATTTCATATTTACATCTTCTCATCCATGTAATTGCATATGTAATACATACATAAAAGATCTACTTAATTAATTTGGATAAGAAAAATAGTCAAATTAATTATTTAAAAAAAATATGTGTTAGTTTTTCTAAAATATCTTCTCAAATTATAAATTAATCCTCACATTATTTTATTATAACTTATTACTCAAGTTTAAAACTCTAAGTACAATTTTAACATTACAAACTAAGCTCAAACCTATACAAATAATAATTTTTTTTTTAAAAGTTAGGCGGGCCCGCCGGCCAGCCAAAGTGCGGGCTACTTCAACCTGCATTGCTTTTGGTGTGGGCTGGCCCATATCCGCACCGCCAGCCTGCATTCCCAGCTCTACTTAGAACCTATTCTTATCTTTTTCAATGTCAAAGTGAGCATACACCAATAAATCACGTGTCATGATGGTTTTGGAGCTGCCATACTATGTGTTACGTCAAGCTTCGCATATGTAATTATCCATGTCATATCAAAGTAATAATTTATATCCTCTTCCGCGTAAACATTCTTAAGTTAAAAATCCCTTGAATACTTTAAAAGGCTTGTTAGGCCTCTAACTAGATGAATGCTTCTTAGGCTTTAAAACCTCTATATTGAACACCTCATAGTATGCTTTCATCATTACGTATTTATGTGTTCTCTTTCTTTTTTCAGGGTGTAAATTATCTTTGTAATTTTCTATTAATATCATTTGCAGTTTTTTTAAAAAAAAAATATATTAATTTTTGTATGATTTTGATTTAACCAGTAAAGTTTAACCCACTAGATTCATTAATTCATGATATAAATTCAATTTTAATTTTAATTATATGGCAAAGTCCTGATCTTATTAAAAGCAATCCAAAATCCGAGAATACTGAATTTATTGTTGAGCCAAAAATATAGATTTAGTTACAAGCTATTTAACTTAGAAGAGTAGTTGAAAATCAATTATTATTAATCAATTTTTTAAATTATTTCAATTATAAGCTCAAAATTGTGAATATATCACAAGATACAGCTTTTTGATTTTATAATTGATATTGTTATTTCTACTCATTAATGTATAAGTTTGCTGTGGCAAAAAAAAAATGTACAAGTTTGTAATCTTACACAGAAAATTTTTTTTGGCGATAATGGATTTTGGGGGAAAAACCGAAAACTGATTGAGAACATTGTAAGGAAAAAAAGACAGAAAAATGACATATTAACTTCATAATGCCTAAAACATCTACTCAATTTAAGAAATCTCATTTTGGTCTTAAGAGACCACACGGGGATTATTATATCAAATGAAAAGACCAAATTACCCTTCATTTTATTTATTGTTTTTAAAATACCAAAGCCTCCACTAGTTGGTAGGTCACTGGAGCTTTGGCGGCAGTAGTCATTGAAGCTCTGGGGACTAGCTGACAATTGGTCTTCGAAGCTCTGTCGGTCAGAAACAATTTTTTTTGAAAATTTTTACAATTTCAGTATAACGGTTAACAACTTTTGTAATGCTATTAACAATTTCAGTATAACAGTTAACAACAAGTCTTCTGGGAAATTCAACAAGCTCCGGCGGCCAGAAACAATTTTTTTGAAAATTTGTACAACTTCAGTATAACAGTTAACAACTTTTGTAATGCTATTAACAACTTCAGTATATCAGTTAACAACAGGTTTTTCAGAAAATTCAACAATTGGTCGCCGGGGCTCGAGTAGTGGAAAACAATTTTTTTAAAAAAATTTTATAACTTCAGTATAACGGTTAGCAGCTTGTTTAACACTATTAACAACTTCAGTGTAGCGGTTAACAATAGGTTCTTGAGTTTGTTAACGGTAATACTAAAGTTGTAAAAATACTACTTTTTGAATTTGGCTAAAAACCTGTTGTTAACTGTTATATCGAAGTTGTTAATAGAGTTACAAAAGTTGCTAACCATTATACTAAAGTTGTAAATTTTTTTAAAAAAAGTAGTTGTTAAAGTTATAAAAATGCCATTTTTTTAAATTTTTAAGAAAACCTGTTGTTAAATGCTAGACCAAAGTTGTTAATAGAGTTACGGAACTTATTAACGACATTATTGAAGTTGTAAAAATGCCACTTTTTGAATTTTTTCAAAAAACTTGTTGTTAACTGTTATTCTGAAATTGTGAATAACATTACAAAAGTTGTTAACCATTATACTGAAGTTGTACAAATTTTCAAAAAAAAAAGTAGTTGCTAAAGTTGTAAAAATGCCATTTTTTTGAATTTTTAAGAAAACATATTGTTAAATGCTATACTGAAATTGTTAATAGAGTTACGGAACTTGTTAATGGCATTATTAAAGTTGTAAAAATGCTACTTTTTGAATTTCTCGAAAAACCTGTTGTTAATAGCATTACAAAAGTTGTTAATTGTTATACTGACATTGTAAAAATTTTCAAAAAAATTGTTTTTGGCTGCCAGAGCTTGTTGAATTTTCAAGAAAATCTGTTATTGACTGCTATATTGAAATTGTTAATAGCATTACAAAAGTTGTCAACTGTTATACTGAAGTTGTAAAAATTTCCAAAAAAATTGTTTTTGGCCACCGAAGCTTGTTGAATTTTCCAGAAAATCTGTTATTAACTGCTATACTGAAATTGTTAATAGCATTATAAAAGTTGTTAACAGTTATACTGAAATTGTAAAAATTTTCAAAAAAATTGTTTCCAACCGTCGAAGCTCCGGTGACCAATTGTTAGCCGGTCGCCAGAGCTTCAGTAACTACTGCCGACGGAGCTCCAGTGACCGGCCGCCTAGTGGAGAATTTGGTATTTTAAAAACAACAAATAAAATGACAGACAATTTAGTCTTTTCATCTAACATGATAATCCCAATTTGGTCTCAAGAGACCAAAATGGGATTTCTTAAATTGAGCAAATGTTTTGGGCATTATAAAGTTAATATGTCATTTTTTTTGTCTTTTTTCCTTGCAATAAGGTCCAATATAAAAGAATTAAATATAAAAAAATCCCTTAACATATCTAATCAATCAGAAGTCTCCGGGAACCTTATTGCAAGAAATTCTATTTGTTTAATTACCAAATTGCTCTTATCTTTTCTTTTTTTTAAGAATCCATTAACAACTAAAAGTACAGTCCTTAATAACTTAAGGTTTAACATTTAACAATTATCGCAGCAAATATTAACAACTCAAACATTACATTTTATTTGCGCTGAGAAAATGTGTTGCTAATACTCATGATAGTTGTTAATTATTGTACTTTAAATTATTAATGATTGTTCTTTCAGTTGTTAGTATATACTTAAAAAAATGATAATTTGGTAATTAAATAAATAAAGTCTTTAGTAATAAGATCCCTTAGAATTTTGGAATAATTTGATAATTTTGATAATCTTTTTGTATTTAATTCTCGGGTTTTTATTATAATTTTCCCTAATTGATTCCCTAGTCCAGAAAAATATCCCAGTTCGCCAATTTCCCAGTTCCAGTTCCCTCTTCCATCAATCCCTCCTTGTGCCTACTTGAGCCGCCGTAGTGCCGTACCTTCAGTCTTCGCGAGCTCCGAGTCCGTCGTCCTGCCGCTTCAGCAAATACCGATAACATCTTCTTTTCTCTTTTTTACCGCCGACGACGACCTCTCTCTAGCAGTCTTTTCAAGAGGTATTTATAGATTTTCAACATTGATTGGCCTTTTCTTCATTTCGAAGATGTTGAAGCATGCTTGGTGTTTCTGCTCTGTCCTCCATGTTTGATTATTGATTTTCAATCCTCACTTTGCGCATCTTTATTGTTTGCTTGCAATGGTTGCTCTAGAGGTTCTAAATCGTCGAATTAAGTACATCGATCTCTTAAGTGATTCTCGAATGCAGTATTGAAATGCTGATTTGAATTGCACTGTCGCCATAACTATTAGCTTTCAATTTCAAAGACAAGAGGGAGCAATAGAAATTAGTTACGTTAATAATCACTCTTCTTCACTTCGTTTCTCCCTCGAAAGGTGCTTCAGTTCTATCATATTCCCTTTGATTAGTCTTATTCAGTCATCAGTGTTTAGAACTGTTTGTATTTTGCTGGGATAAATAGGCACGGATTTCTTTTCCAATCTTTCAGCTGTCTTCATCTTTTGTTTTGTTTTGTTTTGTTTTTTTTTTGGTGGGGTACTTTGTAAGCATTACCTTTAACAAACTCTCAATTTCAAGCTCAGAAGTCTTAATTTAACCTGGACGAATGTGTGTCCAAAATTCTGCATTTTAGCTGTTGCCCAACTCAGTTTTGTTTAGGTCTTTAGTATCTATCATTGAGTGCAAGATTTTGTGCTTTGCATGCTTTTTTGGCTTAAAGTATCAAGTGTGATAGGCGAAGTCCGTTACTGATATGGATTAAAAGTATTCGCTGACATAGAGAGCAAATAACCTCAATTTTTAGATCTGTCCAGTATAAATACTATCTTTCACTAACATTATTTATTGTGATGTGAAGTTTAAAGTTTTATTTGTTTCATTTAGGTGGTTTTCCTTCATGGTATTCTGTTTAAAACTTTACATGGTAGTTAGTTTTGTGTTTAGTACAGGTTAGCAAGTTCTGTTAGTTGAAAAATAGTGTTTGCTGAAAAACAATTATATGGGTAACAGGGCTTTCCTATAGTAGCCTTTTTGTCTCCCTTTCCTTTGAGATCAGAGCTTAGTTTTATATTTGTCATAGGGTCTATCTCCATTTTTATTGGTTGCTACTGCTGCTTTCTCTTATAACATATCTGTGAGTCATGATAATTTTCCAATTTCAAATAATATGCATCTTTAAGGGAATTTCTGTTTAATGTTCTCGTTTCTATGTTGGCCGACAGAGTATGGCTCTCCAACTCTTTGATGGTAGTGACTCAGAAAATGATGACATATCAGAAGTCAAGATAAATGAGGAGTATGCTCGCAGATTTGAATACAACAAGAAGCGGGAGGACCTCCAGCGTCTTGAAGAGTTAAAAAAGAAGGGTCTTATCTCTTCATCTTCATCCTCATCCTCATCCTCTGATAGTGATGAAGAATCTGAATCATCTGATGATGAGAAGCTAAAAATGTCTAGAAGGGATAATAAGAAGTTTTTTGACTGCTTAAATAAGGTGAAGAAGAAGGACCCTTGTCTCATGCAAAAAGATGTTAAGCTTTTTGAGTCAGATGATAGCAGTGAAGAGGAAAGCAATGAAATGGAGAAAGTTTATTCTAAAAATAAAAGTGGTAGAAACCCGATGTATCTGAAGGATGTGATGGCAAAGCATTTGATTGAGGAGGGACCAGATTTTGGGGATATAGAAGAGAAAAGTGGTGGGAAGGAGAATAGTATATCAGAAAATAAAGAGGGGAAAAAGACTTATGTTGATGAGCAAGAAGAATTGAAAAGGGCTTTTCTTAATGCATCAGAAAAGGAAGGTTTAAATGATCATGAAGGGGATTTTTTTGTAGTGAAGGAGAAGGCAGGTGACAATAAAAGAGAAAGTGATGATGAGGAATATGGGAAGGAATTGGAGAAGTACTTTAGCGAAGATACAAATGAAGATGAAAATTCCAAGTTTCTGAAAAACTATTTCATGAACGAGATGTGGATTGACAAAAAGGGGGAGAATTTGGGTGTTGATAAGGAAAACTTGGAATGGGTATCAGAATCAGAGGAGAGTGATCTCGAACGACAGGAAGAGTACGAATTCAGATATCAAGAAAATCAAGGAGACAGGGTGTTGGGTCATGCTCGGAATGTGGAAGGGTCAGTGAGGAAGAAGACAAATGCAAGGAAGGAGCAGAGGAAGAGCAAAGAGGAGAGAATGGCAATAGCACAGAAGGAGAGGGAGGAGGAGTTGAAACATCTGAAGAATTTGAAGAAGCAAGAGATGCAGGAGAAGGTTAAGAAGATAATGAAGACTGCAGGAATTCATGATGACGATCTTATCCCATTGTCTGTCGCAGAAATAGAAGAGGAATTTGACCCTGAGGAGTATGATAAGATGATGAAGGCGGCATTTGATGAAAAATATTATAATGCAGAAGATGCTGACTCAGATTTTTGTGGTGATAATAATGAAATGGAGAAGCCTGATTTTGCGAAGGAGGATGAATTGCTTGGACTTCCTAAAGACTGGGACGCGTGTGGGTCTGATGATGGGTTTCTTGCTGCAAGGGAACGAGCATTGAGGAAGAATATGGAGAATGGCAGTGATCATGAACTCCAAGAGGAGGAAGAAAACAATGAAGAACAAGTTCATGAGGAAGGTAAGCGGAAGAGGAAGCGTAAAACAGCTCTGTTGGAGAAAGCAAGACAGGCAATGATGGATGAGTATTATAAATTAGATTATGAGGATACCATTGGGGACTTGAAGACAAGATTCAAGTATGCCAAAACAAAGCCAAACAGATTCGGCTTGAGTGCCTCAGAATTACTGATGATGGACGAAAAAGAGTTGAATCAATATATTTCCTTGAAGAAACTTGCTCCTTATAGGGAGGAGGAATGGAAGTTAAGCAAACGGAAGAGGTACGAGCTGAAGCAGAAGACTAAAGAGCTCCTTCATTCAAAAAGTTTGGACAAGAAGAACAAAAAGAAAAAATCAAGAGATGATGCCAGCAAGTCAAGTTCATCAGATAGATTGGGAGACAGAGATAAACCATCTGCAGAGGAGTCAAATGTCGAGACAAAAAGTTTATCTCGAAAAGCCAGGAGAAAGCAAAACATGGCTCATCTTAAGTTTTCATTGGCTAGGCATAAAGCATATTATGGGCAGCAACACTCTAAATCAAAGGATAAAAGAAAGCAATAGATGCTGGCAGGTAATTCTTTTCCTGAACCTTTTTAATCAAATATAAATAAACAATGTTCATCACTAATATCAGCAGCTGGTTGATTATATCACTAACAAAATTTTCATTTTGATGAATTTATTATCCTGACTGTTCCCCCTTTCTTGACAAGGTTTTGTTGGAACTTGTGTTTGTAATTTTGTAGGAGGAACCAACCATACAAGAAACCTCGTTTGCTGGATATGAAATTATAGAGCTGGAGATTGACATTGCAGTTTACAAGGCCCAAATTTCAGTTGATTTTTATTCAAGTTCTCGATGGGAATTGTTTGTGCTTGTCCTTCTCTTAAATCTTTGTTGGGTAGCTTAGGGTAGAAGGAATTTCTTCATCATGACCAGAACTTCTAGTGGGATTCACACTTCATTTTGACCGTTTCCTCATGTCATAATTTTTATTAATACAATGAGTGCAGCAATTTTCGACTGAATTTCTTGCCAACAGATATATTTAAAATTGTTATTAAATCCCTTTCACCTGTTTGTGGTTCTTGCCGTTATTACCAACTCAAGGGAATTACCCAGTGCTGCTGCGTTGGTGATATTTAAGTGATGGAATATCCTATTTATTTACATATGATTTTTTTAAAAACCTTGTCTAGCCAATTAAGACGATGACATTGAAATGATTATTATCTTCTTTTAGGCAAATGGAATATTTTAAATGTTTAAATTATATCAGCATCCGTAACAATTATTTTTATTCCCTAAACAGAAAACTTGTATCTTTTGTGATGTTTTGAAGTTTTTTCTCTCCAAATTATCAAAAGGGAAAACATTTTAGTTTTATTAAGAATGTGTAAAGTACAACAGAATAATATTTTTACGTGTTACGAGACAAAATTAAATTTTAATAATAGTAATGGTAGAAATTCACATTCTATTTTAACATTTAAATACAATAGAATGACAAGGCTGATAGATTAATTGTTATGATTTTATCGTTCATATCTTTATTTTTTTGGTCCTCATAATTTCTACAATTACAATATTGAAATTTTATGCGAATGATCACAAATAAAAGTATAAAAATGTAATTATAAATATTTTAATAAAAAATAAAAGTTTAAACCAAATATTGAACCAAAGAGTTAATAAAATATTTGATTTTTTTAAGTTTGCACTAATTTCTATTATAATTGCTCAAGTTTTAAAAAATTCTAGTTCTTTGAAAAGACAAAATAATTCAGATCTTTATTAAATTATAAGAATTAATATTTTAAATAAAAAATATACTACCTCCGGTCCTTAACATAAGACCCTATTTGACTTTTATTTTGATCCTAAATATAAGACCCCAATCCATTTGGTCTCTCATATTTATATATATTTTTTCAAAGTAGCCTTTCTAATAATAATAATTCTAGTCAATACACTTGATTAGCAAGGATATTTTAGGAAAGATAATACCTATTTAGGACAAATAACTAACTTAACTTACTTCTTTGATCTCTTCAAATTAACTGGCTCTTATAATTAGGAATAGAGGTAGTATTTAAAAAAGGGAAAATCCCAAAAAAGGTCCTTGGAATATGGGAAATGCCAGTTAGGTGTTATCTCAAGGAATCACTATAAGAGTTTAGGTGTTACCTAGATTCGTGTAGCGAATAACTACTCACTTTTTCATAGTCAGGTGTCTTGTTATTAACTACAACTAATTCTGTAATCACTAGAACAATGTAAGCATTACCTAGATTTGTGTAGAGAATAACTACTCATTTTTTCATTGTCAGGTATCTTATTATTGCCAGGTACCTTATTATTAACTACAACGAATCTTGTAATCACTAGAACAGTGTAAGCGTTACCTAGATTTGTTTAGAGAATAACTACTCACTTTTGCTCAGGGGCAAAAATGTCAATTTGCCTGAATTTTACAAATAACAGATTGGGTCAATGACCCATTCTGTCATTTTCGAAATTTAAGGACCCAATCTGGGATTTGGTATATTTCAAGGGCTTTTTCTGGGATTTTCCCTTTAAAAAATCAAAATTTGTGAATTGAAAATTGAGGGATAAGTTTGAAAAATAACTTGAGGTAAAACTAAAAACAGAAAAATTGTATTAACTCAATTTTTTTTCATATGAATGGTTGCCCAAAAAAAGGGTCTCTAGTTAGGTTTTCTTCAGTTTCCGCTCCCGGTTTGCTCTGCTGCTGCGTCATGCTCACAGCCTCGTACTGCGTCTTCATGGTCGTGATCGTGTCGCCTGCTCTGTACATTGGTTTTTGAAGCATATTAAACCAACAACGAAGAAAGTTTGAGTCGGTGCTTTACAGAATCTACGGAGATGGGAAGAAGAAATGGAGGAAGGTCACTGCACGAAATTCTTCGTCGTCGCCTCGAGTCCTGCAAATCCAGGTACTCAACTATTGATGACATTGTGAATCATCTTCGTGCAAATTACCCTGATTATCAGCGAACAAAGCAACAAACTTTGACTCGATTTGTTCAAGAAGCTCTGGAGTCATCCAAGCATGGGAACAGGCAGTTGAACAGAAAGCCCAATACTCCCATATTGAAGCCTGACACCGTAGAAGATAATGATGAAGACGAAGGAGAGGGTCGAAGTGCATCTCGAAAGAGGCGCAAGAAAGTTGATGAAAGTGAAGAGAGATTGCAAAAAATGGAGGATTTACACCTTCAAAGGTTGCAAAGGGATGGGGGCATTCTATCAACCTCTTTTGCCTCAACTTCTAGTACATCAGTGTCATCAGACGGCGAAGATGGGACTGTGTCTACATCAGAGGATGCAATTTATGGGGAGAAAGTGGAACCAGCCTTTGACTTGATGAAAACAATGTTGCGGGCTTCATACTCGGAAACAAAGAATGTGAAATCCACAGTAGAGGAGAAAAACATTGAACTGGAGGTGGCTAATAATAAGAAGGCAACTAAGGTTGATGCTATGAATGGGGTTGGAGGTAACATGAACGAGGATTTGGAACCAAAAAGGCAATTGAGGGGTTCAGTTCCGAATGGCAATGGTGATGTTGAGGTCAAGGGGAAGGGTGGACCTAGATTCAAAGATTTGGGTGGGATGAAGAAGGTGCTGGAGGAATTGAAGATGGAAGTAATTGTTCCACTTTATCATCCACAGTTGCCAAGAAAGTTAGGGGTGAGGCCTATGGCAGGGATTTTGTTACATGGACCCCCAGGGTGTGGCAAAACCACTCTGGCTCTTGCTATAGCTAATGAGACCGGTTTTCCATTCTATCAGATATCAGCAACAGAAGTGGTTTCCGGAGTTTCAGGTATGAATGTTACCATTCCAAGTATTTATTTATCTTTGAAATTTTGTTTTTGTTCTTTGGTGATCCTGATTTTTCCCATGCTTGACCATCTTATATCAATATAGTTACTTGTTAGAGGAAAACTTCAAAGCTTATATTGATTGGCATTATCTGAAGATAGTTGATGTTTGAAGTGAATCATGTAAAGAACTGATGTCGTCACTGCTTTATAATTGCTAATGATGAACAATGCTGATTGGGATAAGTTGAGTCATTGGTGACAAAAATTCCTGTTCAGTGCAACTTTATGATAAACTTACTGGTGCAGTGGCCAAACAAAAGAAAAGATTGTTTGTGCAGCCTGCAAGGTTGATATTAAGTGGCAATTAGGATCCTTGGAACGTGGTTAGTGATTACAACTTGTTACTGTTACGGTTATCCCGATATTGATATGGCTGCTTAGAGTGAGTTGTCATTTTCTTGGATGGTCGACAACTTGACCTCAGGAAGTTAAAGCTCTGGATTTTTATGTTCTATTTTACTTGTCTTAGTTGTAAAGAACATAACCTTTAAGTGATATTTCCAGTTAATTGGTCGGAATTTGGGAGTTGAAAAATGAATGTGCATTTTGACAACCTAGTTTGATTGCTGCTACCATTAAGCGTTTCTTTTTGATAGATAATTTTTCTTAACTAATCGTTTGATAAGTACTTTAGGGGCTTCTGAAGAAAACATTAGAGAGCTTTTTTCTAAAGCATACAAGACTGCCCCATCAATTGTCTTTATTGATGAGATTGATGCAATTGCTTCAAAAAGAGAAAATTTACAGCGTGAGATGGAGAAACGAATTGTAACACAGTTAATGACTTCAATGGATCAATCAAGCAGGCTCTTACAACCAGCTGATAGTTCAGAAAGTTCTGATGCCCTTCCTGGCTATATTCTTGTTATTGGAGCTACAAATAGGCCTGATGCTGTTGACCCTGCCCTGAGAAGGCCTGGGCGATTTGATCGTGAAATTTTCCTCGGTGTCCCTGATGAATATGCTAGGGAGGAGATCTTGTCTGTGCTTACTCGCAATCTGAATCTGGAGGGCTCATTTGACCTTAGAAAAATAGCCAGGTCTACACCAGGTTTTGTTGGAGCAGATTTGGCAGCTCTAGCTGATAAGGCAGGTAACCTAGCAATGAAAAGAATTATTCACGACAGGAAACATGAATTATCCCCAGATCTTTTAGATGAGCATGATGAAGATTGGTGGAGGGAACCTTGGTTACCAGAAGAGATGGATAAGCTTGTCATCAAAATGTCAGATTTTGAGGTGCCTTAGATTGATTTATATCCTCATATTCTTATTTGTTCCTTCCTTTTCTAATTACCTCCAAGGTTTTTTTCTTCTTGCCTCTAGAATTATATCATACATTATTACAGCTATTTATTGAACCAAGTTTTATTCTCAGAATGGTCGTAATGAAGCATGTATGTCTTTGTGTGTTTCCATTTATTTATGGTTATGAACATCTCAGTTGTTTGATTAGAATAAGTTTACATCAACATTTTTCATTTCAATAATTTTTCCATGTCAATAAATTGATGAATGTTTAGAAAGATTTACCTTTATGGTTTATGTAATATTTTTTAATAACGTTGAAAACCACTATAATCTTCGGGGTACTTTTGCAGGAAGCAGTCAAATTAGTGCAACCTTCATCAAGAAGAGAAGGGTTCTCTTCCATTCCTAATGTAAAATGGGCAGATATTGGGGGGCTTGATCTTCTAAGAGAAGAGTTTGAGCGTTATATTGTCAGACGCATAAAGTATCCAGAGGATTATAAGGTAGTTTTGGCTGGAATTGTTTTATTGACTTGTGGCAGAGATGGATGTGTAAAGTAGGCAGCTTTTGTTTGGGGAAAATCATTAAATTAGCTGAACTTTATATGCATTTTTTCATCTTTTAGATTGTATCTTTTTTTTCTACCCTAAGGTTTTGGGGTGATTGGTTGCTTGTTATCATATTATAGTAAAGGGATCACTGATGCTTTTTTGAAAACCATTGTTAATGATTAATTTGGGGTGCAATTGATTACAAGAGGAAAGTACTTCTGTTGGCAGAATGCATGATTGTTAAATGAGTTGAAGATGAACATTGCTCCTATGTTGGATAAAATATATTTAACCTGCCAATTTTTTTTAATGCTGGTATGTTTCCTTGATTTCTTTTTTCTTTTTTTTTTTCTCCCTTCATTTTGAAACTTAACATGGGATCTATCCTTTATAAAATCAAGGGGTCTGATGGGCTGGTGAGAGTTCTAAATTCATGGTGTTTAGAGCTCTCTCTCTCTCTCTCTCTCTCTCTCTCTCTTGCCGTTGTAGCTCTTAAATGGGTGGGCTGTAGCTGATACGTGTGAAAGAATTTATAAATTGATAATTGGCCACGCGTTTGCTCAAAATGCAGGCAAGACTTTGTCTATTGTTGTGTCATTGAATCCCTCATCGATCTAGCAGTCAAGGGTAATATGTTGTATAATCATAACGTTGCAGTGAAAGTTGGTTAGTTAGTTATGTTATGACTATTGTGATAGGTGAGGATAGGGTCTATAAATAGATATCAAGATATTGTAACAGACACAGATGAATCTTTGTGAATTACCAGATTCTGAGTTCTTTGTTTTCTCATTCTCTCGTCTCCTCTTCTCTTCTCTCCTTCCCCCTTCCTTCCCTCATAATGTTTGAATAGATGGTAACTAAACATATGGTTTGTGAATAGTGTCGCTTACTATGGATTTTATTTTATATATTGATATTGATATTTATTAAGGTCATCAATTTCATTCAATGGGTTTTAGTGTTAGAGATTTGAAGTGGAGATTATACTTCACAAAAGGATATACTTTTTGGAATATTTTGGGGCTCAGTGTATTTTTGTTAAGTAACAAGATTGTAAATCTGCATTGTCAATTTGATATTGTTTTTATGCTGTCTTCTGTAATGTAGTCATTTTTTCAACTGTACTGTGGCCCTCAAATTCTGTTTACGTTATGCTTGTGATATTAGCCATGTGTCTGAATCTAATTCAACAAAAATTACTATTATTGGAGATCCCAGAACCAATGTATTGTATTTATTAAATATTGATTTTATAACTAGCTTACTGCTCAATGATTCACTTTCTAATTCTCTTTCTAAAATCATCTTATTAATCTATAATGGATCAATTGACTTTTGTACACGCTATGTCATGAAAAATCATTGTACACTGTCTCACATGATTGTTAATTTCTTGAAATTTTATTTTTCAGGAATTTGGGGTGGATCTTGAGACAGGATTTTTGCTTTATGGACCACCAGGGTGTGGTAAAACACTGATCGCTAAAGCTGTTGCCAATGAGGCGGGAGCCAATTTTATTCATATCAAGGTCTGTTTAACAGCTACAGCACCATTGTCTCTTAAGTTCTGGTTGAGTTACAGGATCCTCCTGTCTGAAATGAAGCATCTTAATGAATTGTCTTAATCGCTTTTGTTGCAGGGCCCTGAACTTCTAAATAAATATGTTGGAGAAAGTGAGCTAGCAGTGCGGACATTGTTTAGTCGGGCAAGAACATGTTCACCTTGCATTCTTTTCTTTGATGAGGTTTGTGGCTATTTTACCTTTGAATAATGTTTATTATGGACCCAATTTTTGCCCTTTTGCAAGGAGCAGCGGAGAAATGTCTAAAATCTCGATGGTCCTAATTTCAGTTTTTTTTTTCCCATTTAAATCATCATTATAAGTCTGAATTTTTTTTTTTGGTATCGAATCATTTGAAATAAACAAATGTTAAAATTAAAAATATGAAAGACCTGTTCACTTGTTTGTTAATTTTTTGGCCTACAAACAGAATATAAAATTATATTTACTAAGTAAACTGAAACTGAATTTGTTTCAGTAGAGGGAGCCTTCTAATTTATCTGCAATTTGTAAAATTTATCTGTTATATTTTGAATCATCTTTAGGTGGATGCACTGACCACCAAACGTGGTAAAGAAGGTGGATGGGTTGTAGAGCGACTATTGAACCAGGTCAAACAATTTCTTAAATCTTTGGAAGGAATTACTTAATGCTAACATGCTCAGCATGGATAAAAAATTGACAAATATTGGCGATTGCAGCTACTTATTGAATTAGACGGTGCAGAGCAAAGGCAAGGTGTTTTTGTCATTGGTGCTACAAACAGGTAACTTGTTTGCCATCTCTAATCACATTTCATATACACCCATTTGGTTTGGGAAAAGGAACTTGAAGATGAAAGCATACAAGTATTATTTTTTAATGTAATATCTGTTATGCTTTCCTCATCATTATTTAATAGCGTCTCTTGTTTAACTAAGAATATGAGGCTTGTTTACATTTTCATTGTCACTTCCTTTTATGTCTGCACTTGACAATTCTGTATACCGTGTGTTTCTCTCATGCAGACCTGAGGTGATGGACCATGCAGTCCTTCGGCCTGGTAGGTTAGGTAAACTTCTGTATGTTCCTCTGCCAAACTCAGATGAGCGAGGCTTGATCTTAAAAGCTCTTGCAAGGAAGAAGCCAATTGATGACACAGTGGATTTGTGTGCCATTGGAAGAATGGAAGCTTGTGAAAATCTTAGTGGTGCTGATCTTGCTGCATTGGTATGTATCTGCTTTTGATGTATATGGTTATCCTATGCCAGAGCTGATATGAAATGATAATTTAAAAGCCCTCATGCCCCTTTTCTCGGAGCATCACTGCATGAGTGTATCATGTGGGGTGCGCGCACACGTGTGTGCATATACACAATTTATTGGTCCAACTGTTACTGAATTGTGGATAATTATATGTTAATTTTATTTATAAAAAATCATATAATATTAAACTTATGTTGATTGATGTAGGGAAAAAAAAATGATTTTGTGTATATAGTAAAAAGTGATTAGTCACTCACAGCAATGGATTAGTTACGAAGATATGAACTCTTAAAATTTTAAAACAAAAACAAAGTAGTCTTGATTGAATTTTTATCTGTTTGGTGTTTTCTTTGGACTGATTGATTTTTTAAGCAAATCAAATAAGATAGTAGACCAGCAATTCCCCCCCCCCCGGGTGGTGGTCAAATCGGCTAGTCTAGTCCGATCTTTATCACAATAACAACATACATGTGTAAATGTGGTAACAATTCTGGGGAGTTTGCTGACTTTGATTAACATATAGATGAACGAAGCAGCTCTGGCTGCTGCTGAAGAGAAGTCGGCATCAACAGCAGAGAGAACTTCAGATACAGTGACCATCAAATTAAGCCATTTTGAGACTGCTCTCACTAAAATTTCTCCCTCGGTGTCAGACACGGTATGTGATATTGGAATTTTAATACTGTGTGTGTATATGTGTGCGTGTGTATAGATTAGATTGAGCTTTATACTTTATATGCTTAAAATGGTTTATTTTGTTTTTTGTTTTTTGTGACAATGGTTTATTTTGTTTTTTGGAGCAGCAAAAGCAATACTATCAACGATTAGCAGATACTTTTAAGGCTGCATGAGAAAAAATTATGTTGGGAGAATTGTCCTCCAATGGGGCCTTGGTTGGTGTATGGATTGATCGATTGATGCTAAAGGAGTGTTTGGATACAAACCAAATCATAGTTTCAGAAGTGCTTTTACGGATTACGAAGTAAATATATGGAGGAGGTTACTTTGTTTTACGGAAAAGTGCTTCTGAAACCGCGGTTTTGAGAATGCCAAATACCTCCTAAGTAGTTTGTCCGGAATTTTGTTTTTTGTGTTTGCCCCAAAAGAGAGGAAGAGATAATTATGGCAAATTGTGGAGTTGGTGGTTGCATTATTTTCAGGAAAAGGGCGCAGAGGAAAATATGAAGATAATGAAGCACGGTACAAGGAGTTGCAGAGAAATTAGGATATAAAATTTTTGTTATGTATTTGTTATCATTATTATTCTATAAATGTTTATTTATTTTTATTTTCTTTTTAAGCCTGAATGGGTATCAATTCTTATATTTAAATTTATTTATTTATTTATTTAATCAAAGAGCTGGGAAGCATGCTGGCCTTCATATAGATTACCGATTACTAGGATGCAGATTTTGGCTAGTTTTTGTGGAAGGCTTTAATATTGCTCGCAATTTTGCCCTGGAAAGAAAATGAACTTTTAAGGGAAAAAAACTTTCTTAAAAGTGAAGACGCACAAAAACTTTTTTTTAATAAAAAAATTAACTTCCAACATAGTACAGAATTAAAAAAAATCTGGAACGTCACCATTTACAGGGATTTTGATGCATAGAAGCTGGAACAAGAGAATTGGGTAATGTGTTCCTTAATAATAATGTTGGCTTCTCGGTAAGAATTTTGGGATTGCTGATGTTTTTCTTTTTTTGTGGGCAGAGAAGTTCAAGCAAGTTAGTTCCCCATCTCATCTCAGTAACCAACAAAATAAATAATTAAAAAATAACTATCATGCTCTTATCAACAAACTAATATCAGGCATAATTTTGTCAATTGTCGATTAAACAGAAAAGTTAATTTTGATGGAACTACAGTGCCCAAGTCTCACAAAAGCATCAAACTTGAGTACTAATTTTTCATGCATATCTTTGAACACCAGCGAATGATAAAAAATGGGCACTTGGCATCAATTCTACAATATAACTTGAACCGAAACAACCAACAATTGCAATGGCAATGGCGTGCATTACCAAGTAACAACTGTGAAATATGACATCCTGCTCAAAATTCCATTTAGATAAGAACACTATGCAAATTTCCTCAGTCAACTTGATAGGGAAAAAATCGTATGCAAAACTGCAAAATTCCAGCTTTTTAACTTCTGACCATTATGATAGTTGAAGTCACAGTATATCCATTCCAAAAAAAGAAAAAAACCTAAGTTCCAAGCCTTTTTGGCAACAAAAAACTTCTAGATCCTCAAGGAAGAAAGAAACTAAATCTATTGACAAGTGATCCAAAACCATGCTGACAAAAAAATATGATATAAGGCTATTTCCTGCAAAAAATGGCCAGAAAGAATCGTCACAGGGTTCTGGGTTTGTTGTATATCAACCTATCTCTAGCACTACGCAGAAGAGCCAGGCTTAGCAGTTGACTGGTTGGTAGGTTGTACATGTTGTGGCCCTTGCTTTTGATCAGGATGAGAATATGATGGCCTGTTAGGACAAGCCTTATTAACTTCTTCCTCTTTGATGTCAAACTGTAAAATGCAAAGATATCATTAAAAGTAGAATCAAAATGTTGAAGACTAGCAGACTCTTTAGGTGAAAAAGAATGATGCACAGTAGCAATTATTTTAGCAGATCACTATGGTAGAAAAATGAAACTTATATGACACAAGTATGATTAGACATAGTGCACACTAGTATTATTCCCTCTGGAGCTCGCAGTCGCTGGCAACATTCTCAAGCCTAAGAGTCCATCTTACCATATAACCTTAAAAGGAAACTGTTATGCATCTCACCGTAGAGGACTTACTAAAAGTAAGATAATTAAACATCATATTAACCTTGAAACCACAGCCGGATGCACATGCATGGAAGCATTCCTGCACATGAAGGGAAGGGATCAACATTATTTTTCTAAAACTCTTAGCAGCACACTGCGCAACATATTAGCACCCTGCTTATAATATTTTAAATGAGAGCATTTTATTCTCATAAACTCATAGCAGAGCAATGCACAAAAACAAAGAATAGAAGGAGATATGCTTGGCTTAAGTGAGCAAAAGGTCATATAAATAAATCATGGCCCTCCAAGTGAATAATCAATCTGACCACTCGCATGTTACCACGTAACTCACTTCAGAAAGTTGACATAATTTCACCTTTAAGGTAAAGCTGCTCATGGGCCAATGAGGGGAATCATGCCGTAACAGACCTTTCTTCCTATAAGTCATGCCCCCCATTCTCTTTCTTGATAAACAACCATGAATTTATAAGGTTCTAAGAGGGTGGCAGTCATCACCAAAAGAAAACTCTAATCAGAAGAACCCAGGTGTCCACATAAATTGAACTGCATCTCAAATGATAGTCATTACTACATAATTGCTCTCAATTTCCTTAACCAAGACTCTGATTATTCTAGGAAACAAACAGCAAAGTCGTTAAAACTTACTGTTTCATTAAATCATTCTCACATTAATCTCATATCAGATTGACCTTCCGTTAATTAAGACATTGAATTAAAAAAGGCTTTGACCAAGAACTAGCTACTAATCTCGTCTCAGTCAGTTTCTCCTACACCAAAACAGGACCTAAACCCCTGACGTGGTAGTGCCCTCATTACGACAGAGTAAGTAATGTCTATGATGCTTTAAAAACAAACAACAAACAACAAGCCTTATCCCACTAGGTGGGGTCGGCTACATGAATCACACGACGCCATCGTGCTCTGTCAACAACCCAACCCAATCCCACTATGATGCTTTAGAACATAATTATTCCATTATAACTTGCTGCTACATAAAATAGTTCACAACCGACTCCTGTAACTAATCCACAAACACGGCCACAAAAGGAAAAAATAACCCATAAATGCCTTCTAGCAACTCCTTTAAATCACCTGTAAAAATAAAAGGTTCCAACTTAGATTTAGAATTAATCTAAAGTGGTGCCATTACATCAATGAACACAAGGTAGAAAACTATCGATAGGCCTATGGGCACCATGAACAATATTTAACTGAATTCAAAAATGGTTATTAGAAAATGATTACGGTATGCAGTATCCTCAGTCATAGTTTATACGAGATCAATGATATTGCTTAAACATGTAAAAGCTAGAATAGCAATAACCAAATAATTTATTCTTACATTACAACTAGCTGACATACAGGCAGCCTTACCTTCAAGGTAGCAGAATCAAACTTCTAAGAAAATTGAGTAAAAGTGAAAGAGAAACCATTTAAAAACTGAAACATCAATGTATGCTGCAATAATGTAACCAGTAGCATAGCAAGCAAGCAAGCAATAGTAACTGGATAAGATCAGAAAATACCTCTGAATAAGAGGCTGATCCAGGAGAACGGTCAATATATGCACTCCATTGCTGGTCCTTTATGACAGGGTCCTTGTAGCAAATTTGATTGCAGTCCTCCAAACCTGTTTCAACAGTACTCCAAACCATGTGAGTTTTCTGGATGCCAATTCTCCAAGACGATCAAAGTCAGCATGTTCTCAGGAAGTTTAAAGGTTAAAGAAAACAGTGCCAAAACCTAAAGCAATAGCCTAATTGTCAGATTTTAAACCCTTCAGTCAAGCAACTTAAAATGAATTTATTTGTCTAATCAAAGGAAATCACTTTATAGATATGGGCATAAGAAATGTAAGAGGTCAACTATATATATATATATATATATGTATTTGTGCAATATTCTATGCTTTGTGGTGATTATTCTTTTTTTTTCCTCTTTATTTTTTTAACAATTATTTCTTATGTTTTTAATATATTTTAGGCCCTTATTTGATCACAGAATAAATTGATTAATTCATGAATTTTCTCACTCTCTTCTCTCTTCTCATCACTGTCATCCTTCTGGTCCCGCGTCATAGTTACGTTTCACTGGAATTAATAAATCAAAACAAATTCTACTAATATTTAAAAATATTTAGTGATAGGAAGGAACAGCAGCTTTTTCCTCATAATGCCAGTACAAATGCAGAAATACTAGAAACTGAAAACTATATAGGATATGTTTGGATTAAGGATGGAACACCAGCTTTGTCCTTATACTTTGATTAGGAAATTTTCTTAGACTTACACACATTTTCTTCCCTTCCCATTCATTAAAATCAATATGAACATGTTCTCAGGAAAAGAATGTTAGATCTGAATCTAATTCAAAGAAAACGCCTAAACGAAAATTTCCCCTCCCCATTCTCCTTAATCCAATACGCTTTACAGCCTAGAGTCTGAATAAATAAAATATATAAGAATTCATATGCATATCATTCAATATGTAGAAAAAAGTAAAGAAGCAGCATAGAAGTCTCACATTCTTCCCATGTCTCTTCATCTGAGTTGCATCCCTTCTTGCAGAACACTCGCCCTAAAATATTGTCACAAGTAAGGCAACAGTCATTCGGGTTATACAACAAACTCAAACGATGAATCTCCAATCTTTTCTATTTTTCTGGAGTTAAAAAAAAACCAACCAACCAAACAACAAGATACGTTAGACACGCAAGAATATTGCCTTATTCACTTCGCAGAATAATATCCGAAATGCAACCCACCTACCTGCATAAATGATACTCCTCCGAGCAGAGACGGGTTTCATGACAACTTCTCTCAATTAACCACACAAAAAATTCGCATGATAGAGTAATCCATGGAAGATACCCGCAATATTTATAAACAAAGATACCGATTTTCGCCCATGTCACGTACTCAAATTATCAAACCACCAACCAGGCATGTTATGAGTCAATGAAATGGGCTACGCCGCGCGGTTACACAAATCAATAAAATGATGCTTATAAGCATACATTACCAAGATTAAATATCTTGAAAACAAGAAAATACAGAAAGTGCAAGAAATTATAGAGAAAAATAAAAAGCGGACGACAAAAACAACAATAGAACATAGGAGCCTTGGATGGAATGGGTAGAAGACGATTACATGGAAGCTGGGTAAGGGCTGCATATTTCTGGGTACATCGGTTGCCGCACGGCGGCACCCACTGCTCCGGTAGCATCGTTTGGTGGTGGTTATTCTTGAACTTGCAGAAGAAGAAGAAGAAGAAGACGGAGAGTCAAGAGAAGGAAATGAGGCAGTAATTAAATGAACAGAGACGGTACAATGCTCATTTAATAGCAAATTGCATTGCATTTAATTGACAGTGGTCCGAGCTTCCCGTTCTAATCTTCTGTGTCTGATTTGAAAAAAATGGACGAAAAACAGACTTTTTTGGCCAAATATATTTAGTGATTTATTTATGAATTTTTTATTATCTCGATAGTTCAAAAAAAAAAAAAAGAAGACAAAAAATACTGTTAAATTTGAAAATAACAGATAGGTAATTTTGATAGATTTTGACATTCAAGACTATTACAAAAGTAGTAAACATAACCTATTTATTTTTTAAAATTTAATAAACAGTTTTTGTCATTTTCCCAAATTTCAACTATGAAAATTTTCTTCATAGATATCATACATGATTATTTATAATTATATTAAGTCTTATAAATAGTAAAACTTGTTAACCAATGAGGTAGTATAAGAGAAATAATTAATCTCATCTGAACCAAAGTTTGAATCCTATTTAGATAAGTACTCGTGTTTAATGATATTTTCAAGAAGATTGTTGACAAAAAAAAAACAATAAATATGCCAAATGTGTTGTCAACAAATTACCAAAGAGAATTGACAAGTTGCATTTGAGTTAAGTTTAAACATGTTCATTTCATGCTATAACAAACAAGATTGAATATGTATAGTGTATTATTGTTACCAAGTTTCCATAGAGAATTAACGAGCAAGCTTAACTGAAATGATAAGTTGCATTAGAATTTCAACAAAGGTACTTCATATTGTAACAAATAAGATCAAATATATGAAGGGTATAGCCAACAAATTCCCATAAAAAATTGACAGGCAAGCTTTTGAAATGACAAGTTATTTTATTGTTTTGACAAATCACATCATCTTTTGATAAGTAAGTGGTTTTGAAGCAAAGTTTATTAATATAGCTAGTTATGGAATTAATATTGGTTTTATATATAAAACTTATTTTATATGTTTATTATTTTTTTTTAAATTAACCTCATTGATATTTCTCCAATAATAATCAAGTAGGAGAAAGAGTGAGAAAATTAAAGAAGATGGTTATGATTTTTTTTAAAACAAATAGCATGTTAATTAATTTAACTAATATCTTTAATATACTCAAATTAGTTAATTATGTCTTATACTATCTCTGGTCCTAATTATAAGAGTTAGTTTGATTTTTAATTTGGTTCTAAATATAAACCAAAATCCACTTTGTCTCACAATCCCAACAAGCTTATATTTATCTATTTATTTTAAACTAGTCCTTGCAGTATGTGTACATGTTAAAGATTCTATCAAATGATAGTTCTTACTAATACACATAATTAGTAAGGGTATCCTAGAAAAGATAATACTTATTTATTACAAAAAATTAACTTTTTAAATTAAATCTTTTTTATGGGAGTATAATAAAATTCTCCGTTAATCATTATTGTTGGATCTCACTCCCAAACCCTCATTGTAGGCCTTCTTATAAATAGTCTTAATGCGCATGACTTTCATTGCCTCATGTTTCAATATTCTCACAATTTATAATTTATAGTACACTTCCGATATCAATCGCATATATTAAAAATTTTAATTTTTTAAGCTCATGAAAAATGGACTTTTTTTTTTTTTTTAATTTGCCCTTATCTACAAGTAACGCTCACAGCGCTTAATGCATAATTACTCAACGCACATTAACCGACGCAGGAACAAAAATAAAAATATACTTATATTCTCACTAGTATTTCTTAAAACTACAAAATGTAATACATTTTGGATCAATAATAATTTGTAGAAAGTGTCTCACATTATGGACTAGTGAGAATATAAGTTATTTTTTTTATTAAAAAGATAATTTACACATATCAAGAGAAGTTAGTTTATCCTTAATCTTCTTAAGAAAAAAAAATCAGTTGCTTCTAATCTTACCCTTAGTTCTTGATTAAGTCAACTATATGAAACAAGGGTAGAGTTAAAAAAATTGAGCTCACATTATAAGATGACCTACATTTTCAGCTAAACATTACTTTTAAAACATAGTTATGTTTCTGATTAAAATGAGTACTAATAACCACCATACTTATTTTTAAAAATTAGAGTTCTCAGTTTTACACGGATCCACATAATATTCACAAACGAAGTCGAATTTGCCAAAACTACTCTCAAATAGGTGTGTCTTTTGGGTTGGGCTCTATGCCCGCCAACTCTTGTAATTAGAGTAGGAGTTGAATAATTTTGTTGTTTATTTGTTTCATTGTTGTTTTGTTTCCAAATTTTATTAGATAAATTATACTACTTTCGATCCTAAATATAAAATATAATTTGCATTATAAATTACACTATAAACTAGATCTTATACTTTAAATTGAATGTAGTATAATACAGACAGTCCTTTATTTTGGGGGGGGGGGATTGCTCACATGTACATGGATTTCACATCATAAAATATGGTGGTTCAACTTTTTTTAAATGTTTCAGAATGGCCCATAAAACAAGTAGTTTAATGAGCCTGTTAGGGTTGTGGGAGAAGTTGCTTGCTTGGAAGCTCTTTACCTACAAGGAAGAGGAGATTGAGGCTTAGTACCATTGCAGGATATACAAGGCATTGTCTGAATCGGGTTTCTCTCAACTTCTCACCCTTAACCTATTTGATTCTCTCTGTTCTTACTCAATTTTTGCTTAGATTTCTTTCAGTTTTTCTCATGTTCAATGGCCTTAATTGGTGAACCAATATTGCAATTTGATGAGAGAGAGAGCCTCCATCTTCATCATGCATCAATTTCAAGGGGTCTGCATTATCTAATAATCCCATAAGTGTCATGTTATCTTCTTTAAAATTATCAAGTGGGCGGCATCTCCTTATGCTCAAGTCATCATCTTCACTATTTTATATTGAATCATGTGGATAAATAGATTACATAAATAATGCTACGTCCACTCTTAAATACAAGATCCATTTTGTAATGTAATATATACTACCAAATAAATCTTATATTGAGAACCAGAGATAGTAGAATATACTTTACACGTCAACTTGCATGCAAGCGTGCGGGATCAAACAAGCTCATTTCTAGATAAAGGAAGCATTCATTTTTTGTGTATATTTGGTCTGGATCATCCTTATAATCTTGGGTTTATATGCATTTTCTTCACGTTCGGAAGGCCTAAAACCGAGCAAAACAGTCTTAAAAGGCCAGAAATTAAAATTTTATGCTAAAGAATTAAATCTTATGATCCTATGACCTGTTTACTGTGGCTTTGGTCCCCTGATAATGAATGTTGATCCCATCCACCTACAGACATACAGGTAACAAACTGCATTGAACAGACCAAAAAATAATCTGCCAAGGAAACCCTTGAATTATCAAGTGGGTACCAGTCCTGTGTATAATACAACAATTACAGCTACAGCTAAACTAAATTGGAAGCTCTTGATCACCAGTCGACAGTTTTGGAATGGTCCACCGGATCACAAGTGTAATTGGTTGCAGCACTTAACAGATAATCAGCACCACCTTTTAACAGAACACGGGGAACTTTATTGACAGGACATGGTCGTTCAATAAGGTGTTATTCTACGTTTCAATATGACATTTCCTAGAGGAAAAGAAAGTAAGGATGTATTATTATACATGGAACAACAGACAGACCCAACAATATAATTAAGAAAATCAAACACACTCATATCTAGTACACTCAGTTGCCGTGTTTTTCTTGTTATGCGTTGATGATACAAGAGAATGACTTTCTTTACATTTTGCCCACCTTGAAATCTTCCTCTCATCATTCCTGCGTAGCCTCGCAGCAATTAACTTGAAGCCACTCCTCATGTAGCTTGCTATTCCAGTGAGGAACTCCCTGAAAAGTGAAATATGATAATACAATTCTCTAAGGGATACAAGTACTTATATAAAATCCTAACCAGTTTCCAGGACAGGTAGTTGTTACAAGACACAACATACACAACATCATTATATGAACTTCCTACTTTGAAAGCCAGTCAATAATCTGACTCGGGATAATTTCCTTCTTAATACCTATTCCAAAGTATATCCTTTATTCGAATGAAACATGAGATAGAAAATGTCTATTATGCCTAAGTTAATATTACCCAACAGTGATAGTCCCTCTCTATTACTTTTTTAGGTCCAGAGACACATGTAACATATACCCCTTTTTCCTTTCTGTGCATAACACTTTGACTCCCGAGTAAGCCCTAAAAATTGAAGATATAATCATCATATTTTGGCCTTTGCAGACATCAAGTTTTAGTAATCTTATGATTAGTAATTGTATTTATCTTAAAAGTTAGGTTTTCTTTAATTTATAAGGCTTCATCTCATCTTTTATCTACGATTAAATTAGTTAAATTATTATTATTATTTTCATAATTGTAGTTAGAGCTTTATGAATATCCTAGGGTTATTTTGATGTGAAACCACTTTGCCTGTCGAATAATATCGAGATTTTTTTCCCTGTCACACTCTCTCCCAGTTCCCTCATTTCTTCCTCCATTCTTAGGCTGCCTCCTTCTTCTCCGTACCCCTCCTTTCCATGTCCGAGATCACATATTCCTAACAAAAGTTAATGACAAGATTGTGGGAATGGCTTTCCTTCTGAAATGAATCACATGTTACTATACCATGCCAAAAATACATTTTAGTACATGAATATAACATGTGCTCGGAAAACATTCAAGTATAAACATTAATAAATCAATAAAGCATACACAAAGCCCTTACTACCCCAACTTAATTGGTTTGGACCAGGATGGTTCATACTCCAGAAACTCATGTTTCAATCAGACAAGAAAATGGGCAAGTTCTTTTACACTATCCATATCAAAGGGTTCAGATGAAAACTGCAAGGTCAGTTTAAGCAAGTCAAGGATATTGTGTACTTACAATGGTGAGCAAGGAGATCGGCCCCCATTCACGTAGTACACAAATAGATAAGAATCATGATGTTGTCCATTGATGAAATAAAATCCTTGCAGTCTTCTCACACACTTGAAAGACATCTTCTTGTATAGAAAGATTGCTGCGTTATTGTAAGAAATTACATGCAAATAAACAGCACGGCAGGTTGGAATGCTTGAAGCATATTTTATGACCTCCCGAATCAGTGAAGAAGCTGCAAATCAAGCAGAAATTGGACCAGAGATTATACCACCAAGAACACAAACTAGATTAAAGTGACAGAATTTCATACCTATTCCGAGATTTCTATATGCTTCTACCACACCCAGCGTCAGAATATAAATTAAAGTTTGATCTGATTTGGATGAGTCATATCCAAGAATATCCACTATCTGCATAAATAATATTCCTTGGTAAAAAACGTAAATTAAGAATCAGTCAAACGCTCAGCTTTCAAACAGTTTTACCCTAAGGAAAATATACTCTATAATGTATTAAAAATTTTTGATACCGAAGTGACACATAATCAAATTTTTAAATGCACAAGATTCATAAACATTAGGCCAAGCTTAGGTTTAGAATGTTAAGGGAATATCATTTTGTTTTTTTCCCAAGTTTCTCTCTGTGCATAACCATGGCTTATATTTAGATTTTTATCTTTAGATAAAATGATAGGTTGAGTGCACCATAACTAAGATTTCCAACAACAATTTCTGACACAACATATATTGGCACCAACTAAATGAATGCAAGCAAAGAGCTGGTTAAGTCACATTCCAACTAAAAGATTCCTTTACGGAGAGTAATAGAAGACCTAAAAATCTCAGTTTTTCTATCCAGCTGGAGTGTTAGTGTGCTGCCCATTCACAATTTAACTTCTTCTGAAAATGCTTCAAGCAATTAGGAAAAGGCATACAATTGTACATAATAGGACCGACCTCGCTTTCTTTTGCAAGAACAATCCGTGCTGTTACAAATCCAATAAGTTCATCCTTTTGGCCCTCAGGCCGACTACGGTCGACAGCTCCCCATGACACAATGTCATGCCCATTTACTACATCTTGGAAAAATAATGACTCATACCTAAAATTTGAAATATCCTTTTCTACGTTAGCACAATTCCTGTCGCTCATCATAAAGACAGTTGGAAAATATAAATATATTAAGAGAGATCTCACCTGATAGGAAAGAGCTTTCCATGTAAATGCTCTATAGTGTCAAGGTCGGATGGTAGTATAGGTCTGTAGCATATTTTTGGACGACCAGACACTTTTGATTTAGGGTTTACCATTGGCATTGAGTACTATTTGGAACTTCAGTTGATCCCCATTAAATATCTGATATAAGTGTAAAATTTGTCCAACCGCAGCTCCTTTCATTAACACTACGGCAGAATGACAAAGGCCATTGAATACTTGTTACCACTGCAAATTAAACAGAAATTTGAGAACTGTTAAATATATAATAAACTATGTTAGCAATACTGACTCAAATCATGATTGGGATATGTTTTTTCCAAGAGTATGACAACCAGAGATTTAATTATTTCCATCAAGCAAGCTAATATGACAGAACTAGATCTTTTCTCAAAAACAGAAACTAGCACAAAGAAAGGTAGAAGAAATAAAGCCAAAGAATCCCTCCATACAAAACAGAAAGAATCAAGTGCAGCGAACAGGAAACTGACATCTCATTAGAGCCCTCAACGCCCTGGAAATCTGTGTAGGCATTGCCCTAAATAAAATAAGAATAGATCACACTTCACCCCCTAAACTTTTCCTGAAAATCAAACTCAGTACATCAAGTTTTAAATCTCACAGTTTAGCCCCTTCAAGTTTCAAAAACAAACATTTTACTCCCTCAAGATTCAGATGCATTAACTCCTCACTCAAATAATACAAGTTAAACCTATCCACACAAGCATTTTCTTCTCAACTGAAGGAAACAAAGTTGGGGAAGAAGGCTGTCTATCCCATAGGTTACACAGAGAAAACAGGCCAGAAAGGGAGGTAGTATGTTTTACATAAACTACAGAAAACAGAGCAAGGGGAAAAACTGTGTGCTGGTGAAGTAATGTGGATTTTTTTTGCTCACCACTACCAGTGATGTATGATGCTGAATGTCATAAGAACTTCAGGGAATTAATAGTAATTCATTCAAAAATGACGAATGTTAGAATAAACCCATAAAGATCCTAGGCAAACGATCCTATGCCAAATAAAACAAGTGGATAAAAATTGAAAGTGGAAAGATCAGAGACAAGCCTATCTAACCGTAGGCTAGCAGTAGGCTTATAAACTAGGGATATGCTCTCCCTTAAAAGAGACTGAAAAACTAGTTGTCTAAACTAAAAGCACCACATGCACTTCCTCAGATACGGAAAGAGAGGGAAATGGGGAGATTCGAAGAAGAATGGAAAAGGAGGGAGAATCTTTGAATCATTTAAGTAAGGAAATTCTAGCAGTTGGCGTGAGGAACAAGCAAGGATCAGTAAGTAAAAGAACAGAAAGCTGATAAACCCAATAGTGAACTTCAGTGTTACCTCTTAAAGTATAAAAAGCACTAACATATGCAATTGTTGGAAGTCAGATGTTGTATAAGAAAGAAAGATTAGGATCTAAAGCCACAAAAATGATTGGTACAAATGAAATAGTTGTTTCTATGCATTGAAGTAGCATCTGTATTCCTAGTGATAACAATTTAGTCAATCTCTGTAATATAGCTATTGGGTAACGTCAACAAAATCCCAGATTCCCAAAATAACACGTTAAAGTTGAAACCAATAGAAGTAATGGCTAATGGTTTGCTTTGAAGAAGAAACAATGTATGCATCACTAAACTTTAATGATGCAGTAAATAACCAATAACTACAGTATAAATTTCTAACTACAAAGACGCTCAACGTCTATGCGGTTTGTATTTTTCATCTAATACTGCATATGAGTAATGAATTTAAAAAATTAATCTGTTCAGTATATTTTAATGCAATTAAATGGGTGGATGACATTCATTGGAGAAAAAATTTGATAAATAGATAGTCTCTTGAAGGGAAATATACCAATCAATTTGTTGTAATTCTATCAGTATTACTTTAATCATCTCTTGTGAGTCGTGCTGTTGTATAAACTTTCTATTTTTACCTTTGTTGCAATCATTTGCAAAGGGTAACAGAAACATTGGAGAGAGGCAAAGTCCATGTTTAGGTTAAGGAAAGAGCACTTAGTGGGAATTTTTCCTTCTTCTTTTAGAAGAAAGGTCGCTTTCATATTGGCAATTTAGTAGCTAAAATTGACTATTACAGGAAAATTACCATGGCACCCATAAAACAGAACCTTCAAAGTTGATCAGCAAAATGGATGGGATGCCAGGGTTCAGGCCGAATTTGGACACAGAAGCCTTGAAAATTTGCGTTTCCCTTAAAGTAACTAAGTAATAAGTTCTTTTGTTCGCTTCAAAAAGGATTAACAGAGCATTTTTCTATCTTCCAGCTGCATTTCACGTCTATATCACCTCTGAGGCCCTCATAATGCTTCTGTTAGAAGTTTTAATTATTAGGACAATTCAAATAATTCTTGAGACGTTTAATTCTAAGAATCCTTATCAACATGGAAATTAACCTCATCTTTTATACGCTTCCTCTCCGAGTTTGCACAGGAGGGAGGCCAAATAATCAAATCAAATTGTTAACCTGATAAAAATCACAGCTTGGGCAGAGATGAAATGAGAAAACCCGTTAACGACTAATATGAATTTAACCCAGGAAAAAAAGGAAAAGACGCAGGATCATATATATTAGAATAATAGAGAGAATGAAACAAAAAAAAAAAAACTGACCAGGACATGAAAAGTCCCAATCTTCACCGAAAACTCGTCAAGGATTGCAAGGCATCAGATTTCAGAGAAGAATTTCTTAAATGCTATAATAAATCGGTGAATTTACGAAGGATCACAGAGCAGATAGCGTAATTGTAGAGAAAGATTATACCTAAACAGCAAGTTAGAAGATGCCTGGAAAGGAATGCCTTCGATCTTGATTCTGGACAACGAATCTGCATCAACAACCGAGCTTACTTCTCCTCCTGTGTCTCTGTACAATTTGTCATGTTTTTTTAAGGTTTAATTTTAAGGTATACTTTAGTCTTTGTTGTAATTTACTCCTTTAATTTTTAAAGTTATATTTTTATTTTTTAAATTCTAAAACTATTTTTAAAAAACTAATACTAAGATCTTGAGTGATAATAAAACACTCTCAAATACTAATATATTGAGTTTAATTTTCAAAATAATTATGATTATTATAAAAAATATTATTTGAGACTAATAATTTGAGAATAAAAGAATCAAAAATATATTTCTTAAAATTAAGAGATTAAATTGAAATATTGTATAAACATAACCAAATGCATATTTTTGCTTAATTTTAATTTAAGAAAGAATTAATCTTTTGGCCCGTATAGTTATAATTCGTTTGTAACTCAATTCCTATATTTTAACTCAACATAACTTAATCCCTATAATTTTGATTTAATTGTAACTTAGTTCTTGAAATTTGACTTGCTACAATTTGATCATCAAAGCTTTACTTATTTTATAATTTAGTCTTTGTGTTTTAAATAAAATTATATATCTAATAAAGAAATGAACTAAAATATAAAATTATTAAAAGCACAGGGATGAGTTACAACATATCAAACTTTAAGAAGTGAACCAAGTAAAAACTATAGAAATTAAGTTGCGTCGAGTTAAAATATAAAAACTGAATTACAAACGAGTTAAAATAATTATCCCTTAATTTAATGATTTAATGTTTATTTTTCAATCAAAATATTATCAATACCAATATCAAGTTCATTTATATAAAATTATCAATATTAAGTTATCAACACAATCATCACTATGAAGGTCGAAAATCTATATAAACATAAAACAGCAAATCGCCATTACCCAAAAAAAAAAAAAAAAAAAAACCAACAACAGCAGACTCTCAAGCGGAAAAAAAGCACTATTCATAACTCATAATAAATGTTGATCTCCAATTTTATACAAAGCATGAAAAGTTTTACTTATTATATTCTTATTATTTATTTATTTTTACTTATTATTTCTTATCATTATTTATTTTTAGTTTTATTTTGAAAATTTAGTCATTAATTTCATTTCATTTTTATTCCAAATATTTCTTCTAATTTAATTTTATTACTAAATTAGATTAAAAAAAGGAATGATTAATGATACAAAATAATTATATAGAAATCAAGTTAATTAGTTAACGGTGAATAATAGCGCTTGATTTGAAAGGGGAAAATTGCAATAAGTTCTCATCTAAGAGAATTAAGTACAAAAATATCTTTTAAATTCATCAAATTATTTTGAAATCTTAAAGAACTTCGTTTGCAAGAAGTTTTATTTGTTTAATTATTAAATTGTCCTTATTTTTCTTTTAAAGTGTGCATTAACAACTCAAAGTACCATCATTAATAACTTAAAGTGTAACGATTAATAACTATAACACAGATATTGACAACCCATGTATTATATTTTTGTAATGCTTTGAGAAAATATGCTGTTAATACCTGCCGTGATAGTTGCTAATTCTTATACTTTAAGTTGTTGATGACTGTTCTTTTAGTTGTCAATACATACTTTAAAAAAAAACAATTTGGTAATTAAATAAAAAAATTTATTACAACAAGGTCTCTCAAGATTTCAAAATAATTTGATAAATTCAAGAGATTTTTTTGTATTTAATTCTTCTAAGTGAGAGCTTATTTAGCTTTTGTTTTTTTTACTGTGGGCTCCAATTTGAATCTGGCCCGAATTATTTCACATGGGCTGGATTCTGCATCGAACCCACAAAAGAATACATTTGGTGGCATCATGTGGTGGCCCATATTTGACATATTTTATTTTCAATCTCACATGTCAAGTGAAGCTGTTGTTTCGCTCCGTTAAAATCATTACATGTTTCCCATCAATTAAGGGGTCACTTTGCGAGAATTTGTATCTTGGTAGAGCTACAGATGATGCCGGGCTTCAAGCTTGATGGGGAGGAAGATTATTTCGAATATGAAGGCTTGCATCTGCTCTATACCAGTTGTGGCGTTTATGGGCATAGACATGATATATGCTCTCTATAAGGGGGGAAAAAACTCAGCAAACTGAGGAGACGAATCATAATGGTCCTAGTCATTGTGAAATTAATGTGCAGGAAGCTATGTGGAACAAGGAGCAATGGAGAGTAGTCCAAAAGACTAGAAGACCATGAAAAAACGAGAAACAAGGAGATCAAGATTGCGTGTATTAGCAAATGAAGAAGGCAAAAATAATGAGGTTAACGAGGTTAACGAAGTGATTAGCGAACTGACCATGACAGAGACAACTCTAGTACGAAATTTGCAGCAAAAAAATGCTCATGTACAACCTTCAAAAGGCAAGCAAAATGGAGCAACAACTATTGCCGAGACTGTGAAGAGAGTGGTGCCCACCGTACCAAAAGACAATGTACAGCAGGTTGTTGGAGTGAGGAGTGTTGAGAAACGGACAAGAGAAAAGTCGGGTTTGGATAGGAGAACAAAAGGGGATGTTCTTATGATTACAATGGGACAAAATATTGATTGTGAAGATGATGGGAGAATGATTTTAGAGGGAGAAAAAAGAGGTGGATGTCCGAGGGATGCCTATGATAAGGTGATGTCAGAGAATGTCCCTTCCTCTACTACTCCTTTGGACCCAAGTGAACTAGGAATTGAAGCTTTAGACCCAGAAGAAAATAGGAACTCTCAGAGTTTTGTGAAAGCCCAAATCGTGGTCAGTCTCCTTTGTGAACCCAGAGTATAGGAACTATGGTGCCTTGTTCCTTTACATTTGTTTTTATGGATAAGATTTTTTTTAAAACAAAAAGTTTAGGTGAGTTGGATAAAATAAAGCTAGGGGGAGAAAAGGTTTCCTGGCTCTATAGAATGATTTGGAGAAGGCTTATGATAAAATCAAATAGAGCTCTACATGAGAGAAGTTATGAAGGATGAAAAAATCGATGACAATTTCATTAATCTAGTCATGTGTTGTATTTCCACCACTTCCTATAATGTTTTATGGAATGGATCCTTGACTGAATATTTTTCTCCAAAGAGGGGTTTACGGCAAAAGGACCCTATTTCACTGTATTTGTTTATTCTTTGTATGGAGAGGCTTTCACACATCATTAATGATGCAGTAAACCAAAATAGATGGAAGTCGATAAGAGTGAGTAAGAATGGGCCACAAATTTCACATGTGCTCTTTGTTGATGATTTATTGCTCTTTGGGGAAGCAACTAAAGAACAAGCGGAGTATGTGATGCAGTGCTAGAATCAGTTTTGTTTAGCCGCTTGGGAAAAGGTTAGCACAGCAAAGTCATCCATTTTCTTTTCTTCGAGAGTTCATAATACAATGAGAAGATCAGTTATGGATATCATTGGAATGAAAATCACAACAGAGATTGGAAAATATTTAGGCTTTCCCTTAACTAGAGATAAAAGAAGAGGAGATACTTTTCAATATATAGTTGATAGAGTGAACTCTAAATTGGCTACTTGTAAGGCTAATTGTCTCTTAACAGAATGCAGGATCACGTTAGCAAGATTAGTCCTTAGTTTAGTTCCCTTGTATCTGATGCAGGTCACCATGATTCCAAAGAGTATTTGTCATGAGGTGGAAAGGCCGCAGCAGAATTTTATTTGGGCGAAGAAGGAACACTGTGGTTACCATCCAATTAGTTGGGACAAAGTCACTCAGCCAAGGAGCCATGGAGGACTCGGGTTTAAGAAACTGTGCTCAGTGAATCAGGCTTTTGGTGCTAAACATGCATGGAAGTTGATCATTGGCTTAAAAGCTCTATGGACCGATGTTTTAATACATAAGTATATGTTGAGGAGTGAAGAAGAAATACTCAATGTGCAGAAGGGTGATTCTCGTTTGTGGCGTTTTATTTGTCAGCAAAGTAATTTTGTTAAGAGTGGAATTAAGTGGCAGCTTAGAAATGGTGAGCATATAAGTTTCTTCATGACATTAGGCTGTTCCAGGAAAAGAAGATTAAAGATATGTGTCAGCACCCGCTAACTCCCATGAAAAAAAATTCAAATGTGGCCGATTGGACCAAGTTTAGAACTTGGGATTATGATCGCTTGCAGAATGTGGTTAACCAGGAAGTGATGCAGAGATTGATTACTCAAATCCCTCCCTTTGACAATGCAGGAAATGATGTTATGACATGGAAAAACTCTACTCATGGAAAACTTTCCTGTTAAGAGTGCTTATCAAATGATTGAGAAAACCAACTCTCACGCTTATAATTTTGTTTTTAAGCATATTTGGAAGTGCCATGGAGCTGAGAAAATAAGAGTCTTCTTATGGATTACTTTTCATAACAGATTGCCTACTAGAGAATGGAAGAGTAGATAGTCTATAAGCTCTCCTAATTGTTCTCATTGTAATGATGGGATTGAGACTGCTTTTCATATTTCATGGGATTGTTTGTATGCCAAAGAAGTGTGGCTGCACCTTGTTCATCCAAGGTATTTATCTCATTTCTTCTCATTTTTTTAACTGAATGGATGACCTGGAATCTCTCTAATGATGTGGGAGTTGCTGTGACCATGGATTTGAATCTCATATGGGGAGTCTCGATTTGGTTGTTATGGAACTGGAGAAATAAACATGTTTTTCAAGAAGATTTTCAAAAGCCAAACGAACCTGCCATAGTTGTTTTGAATACTTGGAAAAATTATGCACAATCCTCAGAACCAATTACTTTAATTTTAAAAGGTTTATCTAATCATATATGGGGATGGCAACCTCCAGTTAGTGGTTGGTTTAAAATCAATGTTGATGCGGCTGTTTCTTTGTCCACTAAGAAAGCATGATGTGGTGGAATGATTAGAGACACTAATGGCTCTTGGATTGTTGTTTTTTCTCATTTCATAGGGGACTGTAGTGTTATAGAGGCTGAAGAATGGGCAATCTTAAAAGGGTTAAATTTAGCCTAAGAATTTGGTTTTAGAAAAGTTGTTTTAGAATCGGATTTGAAAGTTACTATTG